ACAATGACCCCTGCAACTACAACAACCCCTGCAACTACAACGACCCCTGCAACTACAACGACCCCTGCAACTACATTTGCAGTTCAAACAACATCCACCGGAGGGTACACTTTGAACATATCAACCATTGTTTGGCTCACTGTTGTGTTCTCTGTATTTTGGAAGTAAAAGAGAACAAATGGAAATTGCACTGTATTTGTCATTTGTGACATATGAGCCAAGTGACCCATCTTTGATTGCTGAGCTGAAATGGCTATGAAGCAACACACTGAGAAAAGTATCTTTAAATACTAACACCTTCTATTACCCAGGCATGTTTTTGTGTTTAAATTGTAAACACTTTAAATACATCAACTTTTTGGCCTGTTAATTTCTGTAATTTCCTAGAATAAATTATTATGTAGTAAACAAGATTATAAAGTGATTCCACTACATAAAATCAGCATTAATGTTCTCTCTTATATTTCTACAGTCAGTCTTTGCATAGGTGGAAATAGAGTATCAAATTCTTTTCAACCTGTCCACTTAACGGAGCAATTTCCTAGTTTCGAAAGCTGCTTTTTCCATTCCACAGTATCATGTAAACAGCCATTACTTCCTTTTCTTACCTGCTCCTGGTATCTCTTTCTTGTCTCTGAGAAGTCACCAATCCAGACATCTCTTTCTTTGTGTGTTACCACTGAAGATTTGTAACAACTTACTGAAATACAACATTATATATATAAGAACACATACATATAAAAAATGTTGACTTTAATTAAAACGTAAATAAATGTGATTTTAATCAATTTACAAGTATCACTTAATTGTCTCATTATTAAAGAGGTTACAGATTATAATGGTGTTCCTGCGGTCATTAATGGAGAATTATTTTATATTTTTCTTACATTGAAAACACGAACAGATGTGAACTCATTATTTCTCACAGCTTTATTGACTAGATGAACCTGGCAACTGGACTAAAGCACAGGACAAAGTTCCAGTGACAAACCAGGGAAAGCATCTGGATTCTCACTGTAGCACCAAGAAAAAACACCATTTAATATGTTAGAAGTGTGCTAAATAATTCTTGAGTGGTTTAACTTTGCCTTTATATTTGGATTCCAAAGCATATTAATAATGTAGTTATTATTACTCAGCTGGAGACTGGAAGGTCATTTTACAATGACAGTTTCTTTCTTTTGAAAGTACTCTGCAATGTTTTGGTTATTCAACAATGCACCAATAAATTTGAACAGTATGATTACACTATTACACTAACAACAATCTTACGCTAACATATTGCTGAGTAATTGTAATTCCATTACATAAATGGAGTCATGTGAAAAAGAAAGTGCTCAACTTTCAATTGTAATGTCAATCAAATGCATTTGATTAAATGCTCATCAGCGAGTGTGAGCACCTAAATGAAGAGCAGATGTTTTGGTAGTTTACACATCTGGAGCATACAGAAGAAGAAAGAAAGTGTACTTTATTGGTCCCCATGGAGAAAATCGCTCTCTGCATTTAACCCATTCACTCAGTGAAGCAGTGGGCAGCCATTGGGCGCCCGGGGAGCAGTGTGTAGGGACGGTACCTTGCTCAGGGGTACCTCAGGGTAGCTATTCAGGGGAATCGAACCCCCGACCTTCCGATCATGGGGCCACCACTCTACGTACTGAGCTATCCCTGCCACAGGTGTGTGTTAACTGCCGCTACGCATCATGCACATCACACCAACATGTCAGGACAAACACTTCAGACAAAATGTCAAGCACGGTGGTGTAGGGCTGATGATTTGGGCCTTAGAACTAAAAAAAGAATAGATACACATTTGTAATAGCTAATAAAGTTTATTTCAGAAAAAAGTAAAACCATAATTACAACAAAGAACCAAATTAACCTTGAACTGCAATAAAAATATAACAAATGCAATAATAGTATAAGTGGAAGAACTAAGAGCAACTTCCAGCAGCTAAACAAGAATGGCACTTCTGGGGCCTGTGTCACAAAGCACAATTAACGAAGAAAGTTTGATGAGCCAGAAACGTACACATGCTGCAGTACACTGAGCTGTGCTTTTACTCAGTGACAGATCCCAAATAACTCCATGACTCTGCTTTGTGACACAGGCCCCAAATATCAGGAGACAGCACGACAGCCTGGCCGAATGCAAACTGCATCAGGAAGAGGGGAGGAGGAGTGAAATGTTTGGTCCTCTTGACAAAAGAAATGGTGATAAACTCATTTTTAAAACCATTTTTCTCTGAACAATACATCATCACTAAATCAAAGTACAGCAGGTTTACTACATAAAGGAAAACAGAAGAGCCAATCAACCCTCAATAAACATGGCGAGTAAACATCAAAGCAGCCACACCACTAAAAAGAAACGCTTCATTTTGTTATACGACTTGGAAAATAATATTGCCCCGCAGGGTCATCAAAAGCAACCGGAGTCAAAAGTGCACCACTACGATGAGGAACTTTGATACTTAACTGAGAAAAGTAAACATAACCAAATTCAGTATGCTCAATAGATGACAGCTTCATTGATTAGACACATATCAAGCCTAGATCTAGAATAAAACAGACATTTGAATCCATGTCTGTGAAAATGCCATCCTAATCACACAAACACAAAAGAGTAACCTTCTTTGTCTGCTTTAAGCACATTCATGTCACATCAGTAATGAAACTTTGAACAGGTTCAATATAAGAAATCTACTATATTAATCATTAACAACAGTATTTACAATACCTAATGTGTTACTCTTTTAAACAGAGCAGAGCTTAATGTTACACAGTTGGATATTTTGCATTTTATTAATAGCCCATGGTAGATCGAACATGTCCCTGGATCTCTTTGTTCCTGACAAGAGAGGTGGTCAATACCAGAGTTGTAAGTATGTATAAGCTTATACATAACAGATCAACAAAGGGCCAATAACCAGAATATAGCATTTGTATCCTCAGAAGGCAAAGACAAAAGCTACAGTTACAGATAAATGGCTACAGTTTTTTTTTCTGTTTTTTAACAAAAGCAAGTGAGAAACTGTACAAAATAGTAACAATATTGTAGGAGAAGACCATCGAGGATCTTCTCTTTGACCTTCTCTCTCTGAAGTTAATATGCTGTAATATGGGACTTTGGTCCAACAAACCCAGCAAGACAGTAATGTAACACATTCCTTCATTGTCAAATAAGGTGTCAAAGACTGGAAAGTGCAAAATGCATTGCGCTGTAGGTTGGTAATCGCATAAGGAGGGGGGAAGCGAACAAATAATTTCTTTACTAAAACATAACAAGTTAGCCCTGTTACTTGAAAATCTGGTGGTGTCATTTGATATGATGGACTTGATCTGATTATGTTGCAATTCAGCTACTTTATGTGACGTTTTATCCCATTTTTATTCTTAAATGCAGCATTTGAGCCAGGAAAAAGCCGGGAAAGAAGAATGCAACAGCATTTTGTGTGTCTGTTGCTTAAATATAAGAGTTTGGTTTACACACATGTCGGTAATTATATAATTCTGCATGCAGAGGCACTGAGTTCAAAGAGTTTATAGGCCTACAGAGTATATTCTCTGGACATGCTTTCATTTCACTTCAAATTTGGATGTTATATTTTACAAAATGACTACAGACTTCAAATGTAAGCATTCGTTATTCTTACGCGGTTCAATCACCAAATATATCAAATCATCCATTTACATTATATTCATCTACTTCATATAATATGTGGTGTGAAAAATCCATGCAGCATATATAAAAACCTGTCTTTGATTAATACCATTTTTTTATTCCTTCACAGGACAAATTGTCATCCTGGCGGTTTTGGATGATAATAGCTCACTAAAAATGACACTTCTGTTTTAAAACTGTTTTCTGCCAACACTGGTGAGACAAAAAAGTAAGCACTTCTGCAAATACTTTGCACCTAATGAGGCACATACTCAAGTCAGCTTGACGCACGTGCCCTTCTCCTCCAATCAAACACTGAGTTGCTGCTACCTCCACTATGCACAAAACAAAAAGAAAAACCTCCTCAAAAATGGCCTTGTTCCTGCATGTGACGTAAAAGTGACTCGCTGATTTGATCAAAAAGGATCACATTTATGTCACATGTGATGTCCAGCATTAGTTTCAGGCAACACTTGACTTGGTTGTAATGAAGTACTTTTGTTGTACTGACCTCTCAGTCAACTTCAGTAAGATATATGCAGGACCTTTCAACACTGCAACTGTCACGTTAAAACGACAAATGCAGTAATAACAACAGCTTATTCTGAACATGACTGCTAATATGCAAATGCTCCAAGGTTTCTGATGTGTAAACATTTCCAAGGGTTAGGCAGACTAGTATGGTACAATAGTTACTGTATTATGTCAGCGGAGGTACAAAATGCACGTGTTTGGCAATAACCAGGGAGAGAAACACACAGTACAATCCCTGTATTTGGAGTGCGTGCCAGATAGAGTTGGGGGAGACCTGAGGTGTATACTCTATGATTGTACTGCTCTTGCATCACTTATATTAATGGAGTTCGGAAAACAAAGGAATGGGCAGAGTCTGATCCAACGACTAGTTTGGACGGCTCAAGAAACGGGAGCATCTTTTATGAGGGTTCTTGGCTGTCTTTTCATTTCAATGTATGATTTTTTAACAAATTACATCTACAGTGCTACTCTAGTGCATTTCAATGATTACATTTCTAATTGAATACACGACAGCCATTTTACAAATTCATTCATTTGCACATGTCGTCAAAACTATTAAACACCAATGGCTCTGTGGTGTTAAGGCAACTATTCAAAGTTCGATAGTTCATAGCCAGCCTTTATGGTTGACGATAACAACTAAGGAAACAATGCCAGGAATTTATTCCGATGAGTTAAAGAACTGCTGGTCAAAAAAATAAAATAAAATCTGACAAGCTTTGCTTTAATTAAAGACCGTGGGAGGTTGTTAGATTAAATGTGGCTGGTTAGAGTCACAGGAAGTAGAAGCCTGCCACATCACAGTGGCTTAGCCTACAGCTGCCCTGGATGGTATCAGTGACACTGATGAGGCTTCTAGAGTGATTGTTGTTTTTTTCAGGATTATGGCAATTCATTGGATATGGCTAAGGAACTTGACTGTCTTGGGCACTGGTGTTTGGAGGTTAGGCTAGTCTCATTTGGGCACATAAGACAACAGGTACTGGGAATAAGTAAAATAAGGGGTAGGGAAAGAGATTCCAAGTTCTTCTACTGGTCCTCCACTTCAGCAAGCTCAGAATTAGAGGGCGGTGTGGATGGTTGGAGGTGGTTTGAAGTGGGTAATGGGCTGACGGTTGAGCCCTGGGGGACGTCACTTGGAGCTGGGTCAGGAAGGGTCAGGGTTTCTGGGGCAGACTTTTTGCGGGGTCGGTCCTTGGGGACAGAGAGTGACTCAGGCGCATCGGTGCACATGGGTGTGGAGGGGGCGCTGGCAGGGCCAGTGAGGGCACAGGAGGACAGGGGTGTCTCACTGATAGAGATCGACGGGGGAAACATCCCAATCTTCTGGTTCGTGGCCTCCTGGATGGCGCGCTCAAACTCTCTCACCTCATCCATCGTCATGTCTGGATCAGAAATTTTATTTTATTAAGACCAGTGACGGAAAGGTGGACACAACTTTTTAAGCCTTTGTATGAATGTAGAAACATTAAGCTGGAATGTGTTAACACAGCCACACCTAGAAAATGGTACATGGTCAGTAAAAGACTAAAAAACAAAACAAACCACATATTTACAAAAAAACGTGGATAACGTGAATTTTTTAGGAACCATTTTTTTTAGAATCATCATAACTGTTAGTTCAAATTAAATTTCGTTTTTTGGCTTTGTGTGTGAGTAGTTTGACTCAGAATAAGTCGATCCATGAGAACATGTAAAGTCAGCTGTGAACGCTTCAGAGGAGAGTCATCATCAGTTTAAATATAAGAAAAGAGGGGCAATGGAGTAAAAAAAACAATGAAAAAGACACATACGCTTGCTTTGTCATGGATCTCTATGTCATCCAGTGAAGATGCGTTTGTTGTGGAATGCTCTTGCTGTTCATGGCAAACTTTAATGTTGGTTTTCTCATGCATTTTTCTCTCGTAATCCCGCACATCATCCAAAGTCATATCTGGAAGAAGGGGGGAGGGGTGGAACGGGGGTCGAAATGTTGGTAACTCTCCTACAACGTTCTCCAATTGAGAGACAGGTGGGGGAGCGAGAGCGTTAGGTGGCAAAGGCAGGCTTTTTTTGAAGTTAAAGCTTTAGAGGTTAAGCTGCCAGCTTCCCAAGACCCAAAGAGTTTGTGGGATAAAACCAAACAAATCCGAGGCACACAAAGAGGAAAGGACTGATAAGGTCAAGGATGTTTCAAGACAAAGGAAAAGCATGGAGAGGCTGGATCATTGCAAGCATAAAAGAAACACCTGCAAAACCGATTCCACAGGCAAAAAAAAAAATCATTCCACAGTGAAAAGATTTTAGGAGTATTAAAAAAGTGCAGGCTGCAATGGTTAGTGGTTATAGAGAAGGGGAACGTTTTAGGGCAAAGACAATGGGCTCATCTATGCACCCTACAGTTAATGTGCTGCAGCCACTTATACGAGCAAACAGAGCTGCTTCTTGCACAACCACAAAATTCACAGAAACAGACAAAGGTAGCTTTCATGTTTCAGTAAGGACCACACTCATCACCAAGGAATAAAGGAATAAGTGGCAACTTAACCACAACCAGCCAGTCAGATGCGCTGCACGCATTTTATTTTGCTGATACTTTGTTTCAGTTTTAGAATACTGTTTCTACTCTTTAAATTTTTTTATTTTTTTTGTTGCATCAACTGGTACATATGAATGTCTCCATTATGAAACATGAAAGAATGTGGTTGAAATATATTTCTATTGCGCAGGTCTCAGTTGAAACAAACTTTGACCATGCTCAAAAAGCGTTTATTATTAGTGGGTTAGTTGTGAGAAGTGGTTCCATGCTGTAAGAGAATAAACAGGACTAGCAGTGGCCGGGTTTAGCTGAAGGCCGAATGACTGTTCATGCATGGCAATGAATGAGGCAGGAAGTAAACTACAGTGATCTACAATGCAAAGTACAAGAACATGTCAAATTCAAACATTTGTTAAACTATGGACGTGCTACCACTGCATGTAGCACTGTGTACTATTACTTAGACAAGAAAACTAAATACTTTAATGACTTAAGTTCAGCAGTGACCTACCTATCCACTCATCCACCCAGGCAAAAGCCTGCCTGTGTCCCAGCAGCAGCACATCCCGAACCACCTGTAAAAAAATACAAAGACGGTCTGAAGTCCAGAAAAACTTTATAAACTAACACACAAATAATATAAATAGCCACGCCTTACAGTTTGTTAATATTCAACCCATTTACCAACCATAAGATGAACATGTGCTGTGATAAGTTGGAAACATTCACGTTTCAGTTGTAACTATGGAAATTTTACTTCATCCAGTACTAGAATTTGAAATATGTATTTTATTAAGACTTGCGTCTGACGTCTCACCTTGTGGACAAACTGCTCAACTCGTGTCTGCAGACCCCACACCTCAAACTTTACTGAGACAAGTTTGTATGAGCACATGATGGGATCCTGCGTGTCCCTCCAGCCCTCCTGAAGAATCCCTCGTGATGTCTTCTCAGACTTGAAATATCGTAAGTCCTGCAATTGTAGAGTGATCACACATGTGACACTGTAACCCAAACTGGCATCGTGTCTGCAACAGACTTGGGAAATAATCAAAACTTTGAACTGAATGACAGTAAATAACACCTTTTCACATTAACCCTCGTCCTTGAGAAAATCTCAAGCTTTTATTAAACAGCTATGAAAAAAGATAGATGCCAGATAAAAATGTGTGAGATGGAAGAGTCATTTGAGGTAAGTGCAGCTCTGAAGTCCACATAATTTACACAACTGAACAGATAAGAATAAAATAAAATGAATTCCTATTTTCCATCTAGAAACATAAGAACCTTTCCATTAGAAGTGATTTAATAAATGACACAGTTTTTACTACTGTTTCCACCAGTGTGTTTACACCTCTCCAGGGGCGTTTACTCCTATTAGCTAACAGCCTTCAAACACACACACACCTACACAAACTCACCTCAGACTCTTTATAGTAGCGCTCCGGGATCTCATCGTAGGCGATGTCGATGAAGCAAACTTCCCTCTCCTGGTCCTTCAGCTCAGTGTCAAAGATCTGAAAACAGACGAGGTAGATTTGCCCGTCGTCACATAAATACATCTCAGAAATGTACTTACTGGTCAATGCAAGAGTTGGAATAGAATCTTAACACTGCTTGACTTGTACCTTGTCACTCTAAAAGCAGAGGTGGGCAACTCCAGTGTATCGCAAAGTGTAT